AGTGTGTGAGAGAGAGAGAGAGGGTGTGTGTGAGTGTGAGTGTGAGTGTGTGTGTGTGTGTGTGTGTGTGTGTGAGTGCGTGTGTGTGTGTAGTGGGTAAAACAGTCCATTTCAATGAGAAAAACCAAAAAGACATGAAGAGATATTCTCCAACATACAGTGCACTTTTCTTTAAGAGAGATATTTGCATGTAAAATTCAAACCAACACACACACACACCCGAATATCCCTCTGACTGGAGGAAAACTAGACGCTCCACATTCATGACTGGATATTCAGGTCACGTGTGTTTGAACATGAAAACACACACGAGAGCAGCTCATCTGAGCATGCATTTAGTAAAAAATAACAAAAAAACATGAGGAACACAAGACTGAAGCTGCCACATCTATCTGAACACTTGCCTTACAGGACAAGAGTTTTAATCACATTTCTGACTAAATGTAGATGTGTGTGAACTAAGGTTGTCAGAATGGCTGAAAAACTAAATTCGAATTTTGCACTTAAATATTATCAATATTCAAATTATATTCGAATATAAAAGGAATAATTTCAGTTTGGGGGGAAAGACCTTTTGGCTTCTCTCCTGAGGACACAAGAGGGTGCATCGAGCAAAATATTACTAATGCATGTTTATTATAGCAATAAAATATAATTAAGTTGCTTAAACAATTATAAATAAAACAGCATCATGTATGCATAGTCACACCTCTGTTCATCAGTTTGCACTGGCTACCAGCTGCTCGCATAAAATTCAAGGCATTAATGTTTGCCTACAAAACCAGCACTGGCTCTGCACCCATTTACCTAAATTCATTACTTCAGACTTATGTGCCTCTAGAAGCTTGCGTTCTGCAAGTGAACAGTGCTTTATTGTTCATCTCAAAGAGGCACAAAACCCAGCACTTGCATATCATTGCTGTTTTGTTGATTTTGATTGTTTCCATTGTCCTCATTTGTAAGTCGCTTTGGATAAAAGCGTCTGCTAAATGTCTAAATATATATATATATTAATAAGTCAAATTAATGTGACTTTTTATTATCTCAAATTTAATAAAACTGAATTTTGCTCCTAAATACATTAAAATTCACAAACACACACATCTCTATCTAGCTGTATGTCTATCTATCTATATACACACACAGTTTAAAGTGCGCCTATAAATAATTACATAATTATTAAATACAGTTTGAAGCAGATATTTTTAAAAAGCCAGTGTACTTTTTGTATTCTAATAAATTCAATCATTTTGCTTGTAAATGTCTCCTTGTGTGCCTTTATTTAGGAAAACTTTAACCCTTTGTGACAGCGGTTTCATCACTAGTATTTAACTCACACCAATAATGATCACTCATTTCTGAACAGCTGTTCTCTTTCTAAACTCTCTACTCGTATCTGGCTGTAGTTTAACAGAGAGTGAGAAAGTGCTTAGTGAGAAGTGAAACAAAAGGCGTGTTTGGGATTGTGAGCTTACATTAGCGCTGCAGTTCTCAAATCCTCACTCAAGCTGACACACACAATCCAACACACACACACACACACACACACACACACT